ATTATGTGCAGGTATATATATATAGATACATATATGCATACATGTGTATACCAAAACTCAATGCCATTGAATCTATTCTGACTCAGTGAACCTATGGGACAGAGAAATATTGCCCCTTTGGGTCTCTGAAACAGGCTCAACTTTGTCCTGTGGATCAACTGGTGGATCCAAACTGCTGGTTTGCAACCCAATCACAGGTGTGTATGCACAAACATATGCATCTAGGTGGTTGTATGTCCATATAATCACACACAAAATAAAGCACATAGGGAAGAGAGTTACAGATACTTCTCAGACATAACCAAGTACCTCTCGGGATTGGATTTCTGGGTTTGAATAATTGGAACCATAGTCTCATGGACATTTCAGTCAACTGGCATAATATAGTTCATAGTTACATTCTATATCCTACTTTGGTTAGTAATGCCGGGGGTCTTCAACGCTTTTGAGCAATAATCTTGGAGACACTGACTGGTCTCCACATCTTTGGAGCAAAAGAGAAAGGAGGGATCAAAAGACTCAAAGAACTGGGCTATATACAAGACAAATAGCCTAGATAACCACAGCCTCATCTGCCCTGAGACCAGAACTAGATGGTGCCCGTCTACCACTTACTGACTGTTCTAACCAGAGCCACATTCGATGGAACCTGATAGAACGGGGGGAAATGTGGACCAGAACCTCAAATTCCTACAAAACAAATAGTCCCACTGAGTTGGTGGGAACTAGAAGACTTCCTGAGACTATTGCTTGAGATACTGTTCAAACCTTGAACTGAAATTAACCCCTGAGGTCACCTGATAACTGAACAAATTAGCTCAATAAAACCCACTGAATAATACCTGTAAAGTACTGCACTCCTTCTTTAAAAAGTCACCTGTATGAGACCAAAGAAGACAACAATTCCTGTAAAACAAAGATGAGAATGCAAGAAGGCTGGAAAACTAGATTAATGGAAATGAAACAACCAGAAGGAAAATAAAGAGAATGTCCATGCTTTGTTAGGTATGTAGGCAATGTTATGGAACTTGTATAGTGTGTTGAGCCTGCTGTGTACACCTTCGATAATAACACAATAAGATATATATTTATATTTTAAGTATGAAGTGAAGAGAGTGAGGAAAATTAGACATGTGGGTAAGGAAAAGTAAGCTTCTTTTACCAACATACCTGGGCTTTTTAAAAAAAATAGTTTTATTAGGGGCTCATACAACTCTTATCACAATACATACATATATCAATTGTGTAAAGCACATTTGTACATTCGTTGCCCTCATCATTCTCAAAACATTTCCTCTCCACTTAAGCCCCTGGTATCAGGTCCTCATTTCCCCCC